ATGCTAAAATAAGAAAGCATTCACAAACTGCATGAAACGGTGTATTAAAAAACAACAGTAGTACATTATGGCATGATAGGGTTCATCTCAGGAATTAAAGATAGGTCCAAATTAGTAAACTCTATCAATGTGACCTGTTATATTAACATATCAAAGACAAAACCTATAATTATCTCTATAGTCATAGAAAAAAGCATTTAATAAAATTTCAATATTCATTTCATGGTTTTAAAATACTTCTACTTTAAACATAACTGAGATAGAAGGGAACTACCTTAACCTGATAGTGTATCTACCAAAAACTTTCAACAAATGTCATAAATAACGATGACACATAAGAAATATTTCAATGAGATGGAAACAGAAAAACAGTGCTTGCTCTGACCCTCACTATTTGATGTTACATTGGATGTTATCTTACGCAAGATAAGAAAGCGGAAGCGGTATCAGGAGTGTTATTTACAGATAATATGATTAAGTAAGTGAAAATACAAGAGACTTTCTAAATAAACTAATTAATAAGAAATTTCAGCATGTTTGACAAGATAAGATTATTAGGAAATCTATATCATTTCTAGTTAAACAATTTAATAGAAAAATGATCCCATTTATAATAGCAACAAAAGCTGTCAGTAAGGTACCTGGGAATAAATCTAACAAAGAGGTACAGGAATTTTATAAACAAATTATAAAATGTTATTGAAGGACATTAAAAATCAGAATAATATTAATGTATTGGATGACAATTTTGTAAAGATGTCGTAGCTTCCAAAATTTAACCTACAAATTAAACTCAGCAAAATACATAAAGTTTTCCAGGGGAATTTGACAAACCAATGCTAAAATTAGTATAGAGGAGTATCAGACCAAAAAAAGCCAGTACAATTTTTAAAATGCACAAAGAGAAGAGGAGACCTTCTGCACATCAAGACTTATTAGAAAACCATAGTAATTAAGAATGTGGTATTGGCTCAGAATTGGTTTGATCAATGGAAAAGGACAAACTAGGAACATATCTGTGAAAATACGGCAATTTAATTTACAGTCACGGTGGCATTACACATTAATAGGGAGATGAAGACAGTCCACTGAATCTGATACCTATAGGCATTCCATATTGGGGGGGAGGAGGGGAGTAAAATTAAATTCCCACTTTACATCATTCAGAAATGTAAGTCCCAGGTAGATCAATTTCACATGTGGAAAGCGAAACTTTGAAACATTAAGGAAAAAGCCATAAGACGCTATCTTCATGCATCAGGTGTGGAGATATTTCTTTAATAATACGCAAATGACACAAATGATAAAGCTAGAGATGAAGGAATATGACTACATTTTACATTTTCTATAGTACAAAAGACATCAAAAGCAGTTAAAAGACAAGCCACAGACTGAGATATTAGATTTAATGTTTATACACATGAATTCCTACAAATCAAGAGGCAAAAGATGAAAGCACACACAGCCCACTGGAAAAATGCATAAGGACTGCGCAAAAACAAATCACAGACTCAGAAACCTTAACAGCTAATAAATATATGAAGAAATGCTCAACCTCACTACCAGTGAGGAAATTCAAATAAAAAACAAGATACTGGATTTTTAAAAAATTATATTGGGAGAAATAAGTCTGAATCTACAAGGTGTTGAAGGTCGTGTGAGGGAAGCATGAACTCTCACACATTGCTGGTGGGTGTGCACATTGAAGAATCATTAGGCAGTTTCTAGTAAAACTGAAAATGTGTGTGCAGCCTAGAAATTCTCTATCTAGGTACATACATAGATAAATTCTTACATATGTGCAAGGGAAACATGTACAAGTAATGCCAAAATATTGGCAGCAGCTTAAGTATTCATCAATAGAGGAATGAATAAACACGGCACATTCATATGCATGGATCTACAATATAGCAATTAAAATCAATGAATTGGATCTATATTTATCAACATGAAAAGAAAAATAAAAACATACCATGAAGGAAAAAAGTTACAGCATGATATGTAAAGTCTGACACCACATATGTTCATTGAAAAAAATCACACAAAGCAATATTCTGTATTTTTATGGGCTCATATGCAGTAAAAGTGTAAAACCTAAACTGAAAAGTTACATACTAAATTCATGATAGTGTTTGTCTTTGGGGAAAAGGGTGAAGAATGGTACTGAGGAGAGGTACAAAGGGGTCTTCAATTTTATCAGAAATGTTGAAATGTTGAATAGTTCAACATTTTAAACATTTCAAGCAATTTTAAAACACGGATCTGAAGCAGATATGACAAAATGTTAATATTTATTAATTATATGAAATAGGTACATGGGTGCTTGTAATATTTTCTCAGCATTTTAAAATATATTTACATTTTTTTCTAAATAAAACTAAAATAAACACAGCTGGTAAGGAATTCTATCTCATAGAATTTTAATATGTGTAATTGAGAGTTAATTGTCTAAAATTTTGAGACAAGGAAGGTTAGAAAAAATTATATATTTTAGAATGGAAACCCCTTAAAAATAATAAGATGATAAACACAGCTGGTAAGGAATTCTATCTCATAGAATTTTAATATGTGTAATTGAGAGTTAATTGTCTAAAATTTTGAGGCAAGGAAGGTTAGAAAAAATTATATATTTTAGAATGGAAACCCCTTAAAAATAATAAGATGACAATATTATTTAAAAACTGCTGAAATGAATAAAATTGATTCTATAGTTATCAACACAGATCTCAGCATCACACTGAGGGAGAAAAGCAAGTTGCAAAATGAAATGTACACTATTGTACTGTTTATAAAGAAAATTTTAAATACATAAACATGGATGTATACATATATAATTTTACATATATATAGGTAAATAGGTAATAAAGGTATAATAACAAATGCTAGAAGAACACACATTTCATTAACGTGATTATCTGGGAAAGTAAAGAGGAAGAAAGGTGAATGGGACTGGGGAGGGAAATAAAGTGACATTCACCTCTATCTGTAATGTTTAATATAAATAAAAAATCTGAGGCAAATATGATAACAATTTCACATTTGATTATTCTAGGCAGTAAATACATAAGTGTATTATTCTTGTTGCAAATGTATTTTTTGATTTTCAAAAGAAAAAGTACTGAAGAATTACAAATGAAATGCACATAATACAATAACATAAAAGCAAAGCTTGTGTATACATCAAAAACTGTAATATGTCTATTTTCAGAAATTATCCTGTTTTTCTACATGTTCTTAAGTTTTTAAAAATAAAAGAGAGGGCAAAAAAATGAAAGCAAGGAAGGCATGCAAAAGAAATCATACATATATTTAATTCTAAAAATGAAAAATCTCCACAATCACAAAACATCATATGAGCATTCTATATCATTTGCAGCATTTTCTTATTTTTAATTTTTGTTGAAAGAAAAATAGAAGATGTTGCCTAATTGGAAACGTGACTTTCTATTATTAAAATTGTGGGAGTCCATTTTAATGTGTTTATCTCGCTACTAGTCTATAATTTATATTTCAGCGTGCAAATTTGTTTGTGTGCCTGTGACAGGTTAATGCAGTTTAAACGTGCATTTTTCTTTCGTTGGTTGAACAGTTAAATCGTTACTCAAAGGACTTTAAGTTTCAATTTCAACCATGAGAGGATTCTTTGCTTTTCCAAGGTTAAAAAATGTTTCTGGTTCAAAACGCTATTAATTACTGGCTACGTGGTGGATCTATGCAGGGAATTGCTACCGACCCCGGATTAACAGTCAAACTGCTAAATGAGAAAACTTTTTTTGGATGCAGACTTGGGGATATTTTCAATTTGGTCTGAGAGCAGGGAACGGGAGTGAAATGCAATTCCAGACCACTTAGTTCACAATCTCAATTATGAATCGAAAGACATGTCAGGTATTAGCATATTTTTTT